TATTTATTTATTTTTGGTTTTTCAGCGGACACAACATCTTTGTATGTGGTGCTGAGGATCGAACCCGGGCCGCACGCATGCCAGGCAAGCGCGCTACCGCTTGAGCCATATCCCCAGCCCCTGGTATGCAACTTTTTGAGGTTGGCCTTTTTCTCTACTCAGTATAATTTTAGAGGTTTCTATTTTGGGGAATACATGTTAATGATGATGATTTTGTATTTGTCATGAAATGAAATGAAAATGTTGACCTTCCCCAGATTCACCTGATTGGTATCATTTCTGCCCTACACTGGCATCTTTGCATTATTTTATATCCTAAGAAATCTTACCTGTAAACTTGAATAGGGTAATATTGGTTAAATGTTAACTAGCCACTGCATGCTAGACTGGCTTAAGGCAGGTGTTCAAAGGTTACATGTTGTCCAAATATAATAGGGAGGGGGGTATATCTCTTATTAGGTCAAAGTGTTTCAGGGGAATTTATAGGCAAATTAGGATAAAACAGATTAAATGTTATAAAATTTATAAATTAAAGTATTTAAAACTGTCTTCCTTTTCAAAGTATAGAACAATTAGCAAATAGAGAAATGCTACCATCAAGAAGCCATTATAAGGGGGCTGGGATTGTGGCTTAGTGGTAGAACACTTGCCTAGCATATGTGAGGTATTAGGTTAGGTTCTCAGCACCACATACAAATAAATATATTTTTAAAAAAAGAAAAGAAAAGAAACCATTATAAGGGCTGCAGGTAATAGCTCAGAGGTAGGACACTTGCCCAGCATGTTCAAGGCCCTGGGTTCAATTCCAATGTAAGGGTAAAAGAAATTGAAGTTAAAGTGTAAAAGTTAAAGGGTAAAAGACCGGGTATTGTAAAGTTTCTAAGCTGCAAGGCCTGAGTTAAAATGTAAAGGACTAGGTATTGTTAAGTTCCTATGCTACATGCAAAACCTGAAATTCCTGTAGCTGTTAAGACAATGCTTGGAACCCCCAGTAAATATTTCCCCTGACTGCTTGGTTGTTTAATAACTTAAGGGCTCCGTGTGGTCTTGCACGTAGGCATCGCAGGGCCTGGACCAATCAGTTTGAATGTGTACCCCGCTTTAGAACTGACCTATCACCCCTGCCTGACCTGTTCCCGCCAATGAACGAACTAATCATGTCTCAGAATTATTGTTTGATTTTCCCGCAGTGTATGATGATTTGTTAAAGGAGACTGTGATGTATGTAAAATCCCTGCCCTCCAAAAAAGTGTACTTAAGCAGTGCTCAGCCCCTGCTCGGGGCTCTGGGCTGCTTTCCCTTCTCGAGTGGGCACGGAGCCCCAGCATGCTGGTTCAATAAATCCCCTTCTGCCAATTGCATGAGTGGTCACTTGGTGGTCTCTTTCTCCGACACTTCGCCTGACTCTTACACCAATATACCAAACATAAAGTGCTCATACATATTAAGGTCAATATCAGATTATTCCAGAAACCTAGAAGCTTCTGAGATTATAGAAAGTCAATATTATTCCATTTCATGTAGGCTATGGAAATAGCTAGCATTCTAAATGTGGGTCTTCAAGAGCTAAACTCTATTTTTTTTAATATTTATTTTTTAGTTGCAGTTGGACACAATACCTTTACTTTATTTATTTTTATGTGGTGCTGAGGATCCAACCCAGGGCCTTGCACATGCTAGGCTAGTGCTCTATCACTGAGCCACAACCCCAGCCCCCAACTCTATTGTTTTTGAATCAGAGTAACTCACAAAAATCACAGGCTAATTCATAGTCTTTGAATTTAAGACCAAGGTCAAGGTCAAGATTTCATCTTGTTTTCCATTATAAACTGTTTTTTTTTTTAATATAGACTTCTGTTGTAAAGCTGGACTTGTTGAATGTTTAGGAAATGCTGTACAGTTTTTTAAAGTTTATTGTTATTTAAGTGCATTATTTATTTTTAAAGATTTTTGAAAAGATGGACACTTTTTTTTAAATCTTTTTTTTAAGAGAGAATGAGAGAGAGTGAGAGAGAGAGAGAGAGAGAGAGAGAGAGAGAATTTTAATATTTATTTTTTAGTATTTGGCGGACACAACATTTTTGTTTGTATGTGTGCTGAGGATCGAACCCGGGCTGCACGCATGCCAGGCAAGCGCGCTACCACTTGAGCCACATCCCCAGCCCAAGATAGACACTTTTTAATTTTTTTTTAATTTATATATGACAGTGGAATGCATTACAATTCTTATTACACATATAGAGCATAATTTTTCATATCTCTGGTTGTATACAAAGAATATTCACACCAATTCTTGGACATAACATCTTTATTTATTTTTATGTGATGCTGAGGATTGAATCCAGTGCCTCACATGTGCAAGGCAAGTGCTCTACCACTGAGCTATAACCCCAGCCCCAAGTGCATTATCTTTACACTGCAGACTTTTTAGAATGATTGTATGGATATGGAAAGGTTGTAACATACTTCATACTTTTTTTTTTAATATTGAAATTTGCTATTTTAAAGAATGGGGTTAAAAGAGACTCTTCTTTTTCTTAAGAAACTGTAAATTGGTATGGACTTTGTGGAATCATTTTGGCACTATTTATCAGGTTTGAAGTGCTTAGATCCTATTTTTTTACAATTCTACTTCTAGCAATCTATTCCTTAGATGTAATCATAACTGTGCAGTTGATGTTCATGCATATGTAATATTTTCTGCCACATTGTTAGTTATATTGAATAACTAGAAATAATGTGAATTCTAGTATATTGACAAAGGTTAAATAAATTATACATTAAGTTATGAAATTCTATGTAGTATTAAAAATAATTAAGTTGATTAAAAGTATTATAATAAAAAAAATAGTAAAGATCTAGAAGGATGTAAACAAAATAATTTCATTGGTTATCATGGGCATGAGGGGTTTGGAAAGGAAACACATTTTAATATTTAATACTATTTGAATTTTCCAAAATGAGCACCTACACTTATATTACTTGTGTAGCTTTAAAAAGCTTAAGTACATGTCAACTGAATATATCCCAAATAAGATAGCAAGACTGCATCAACTACTTTATTTTGCTTTTTTAAAATTCTAACAACAGAGTTGCAATGTTTACAAATGTAACAATATTTGGATTTAACATATAAACAAAATACGCTTGTCATTTTGGTTAGGTGTAGTACTTTAAAAATGTCGATGCAGGGCTGGGGTTGTGACTAAGTGATAGAGTGCGTGCCTAGCATGTGTGAGGCACTGGGTTCGATCCTCAGCGCCACATAAAAATAAATAAAATAAAGGTATTGTGTCCACCTACAACTAGAAAAAAAATTTTTTAAATGACTGCACTGAATTAGATAACTTACCTATTTGAAAATTGTTTTCTACCAAAACAAAAACAAACAAAACCTCATAAACACTGACTGAGCAATCCATTCAGTCATCAATGATGGAAACTGATTTTGCACATCATTACAGTATCAGCAGATAGTAAAAATTCAGTAAATACTGACTGGATGAGTAAATCTTATTAGTAGCACCTACTTAAGCAGAACATAAGATTGCATGCTTGAGGCTCCTTTTACTTTTCAAATGGGGAGAGGAAGTGCCCCCTTCATTCTTAAGGAGGTTGCAAGCTTGGTTGAAGATAGGGCTTAGGTGGCTCACATTTTGGTGATATGTGAACTGAAAAATCATTCAATTTTAGAATCAGACAGACTAAAGGAGAAAAAAAAAGCAAGCAAAATATCATGTTACATATGTTATATGTATATATATATATACTATATAGTTATTATACAAATACACACACATGTATTTATTTTTGCTCAGACTAGAGGAAAGAGATTTGGTGCAAATGTTTCCTCACTGTGAAACTGTGATACCACTATTGGTTATACTTTCATCTGGAAAATGAGTAAGAGTAATGAGTCCTTCCCAGAAGCCGCCCCCTCCCCTGCTTTGGGACGTATGAATGAGTAATCTCATAAAATGCTGGTAATATAATGGCCATACTACACATGTGTAATGAAAGTTTAATGTAAATTAAATATCAGACCACTAGGTAAAAAAAAACTTAAACCAAAATTACGCAAAAATGAAAATGTGGCTGGGCGTGGCGGCATGGGCCTGTAATCCCAGAGGCTCTGGAGGCTGAGGTAGGAGGATCACAAGTTTGAGGCCAGACTCAGCAAAACCCGGTCTCCAAATAAAAAGGGCTGGAGATGTAGCTTAGCGGTAGGGGGCCCCTGGGTTCAATCCCCAGTACGACAAACAAATAAAATAAAATGAAAATGTCCCAGCGCGGTGATGCACGCCTGTAATCCCGGCTGCTCAGGAGGCCGAGGCAGGAAGATCGGAAATAGCCTAGGCAATTTAGCAAGGCACCGTCTCAAAATAAAAAATAAAAAGCTCTGGGGATGTAATCCGGGGGTACAGCGTCCCTGGGGCGGGTCCTAGTAGTCAACTCCCGGTGCCAGGCGGGTCCCGCTCAGGCCAGAGGTTGCCCACTTCAGGGGCACGAACCTAGAGTCTTCCTTGAGCCGGAGGGTCCAGGTCTCCGAAGACCACAACCGCGCCTGGCTCCCGGCCATCACGCCTGGCCTCCGACAACCTCGTCCAGCTCCGGCAGTACAGCCGGGATTCTCCGGTCCTAGCTGACACTCCTTCTTACTTTGGGGAGTTGGGTCTCAAGGCTTTTCCTGCCAGCAGGGGGAGGTATTCTGACCTGGCCGCCCTGGTCCGCGAAGCCGGAAGGCCCGCTGGGCAGAGGAGGGAGCGGGAAGCACAAGGCGCGCGCTCCCGCGAGCACAGGAGCGAGGCTGGGGACGCGCGCGCGCGTGCCTGGATAGGGGGAAGGCGGGGCGGTGAGGAGACGACGAGCAGAGGGCGCCCTGGAGCCGAGCCGAGGGTGGGCCCGAGCGTAGGGGCGGGACCCGGGGGGAGGGCGTCGACGCCGAGGGGGCGGGGTCAGTCGAGGCGGGGGCGCGCTTGCGGGCTGGGAAGGCGGGGGCGCGGCGGTGGCGGGAGCGTGCCCGGTCCCCGCCCCTGTTTCCCACTCGCTTCCACCTCCGACCCGCTGGGGCTCGGAGAGGCGCCGCTCTCTGGTCCCCGGAGCCGCCCTGCAGCGGCCACCTACCCCCTCCGCTCGCGGCCAACCCGTCACTCTTCGCACGGTGCGCTCCTCCGTCTGGGCCATGGATGGGTAAGTGTTAGGCTGCTTGGCGGCCGCGCGGGGCTGCGGTGGCCCCGCTTCCTCTCTGCTCTCGGCGGGACGCGCCGAGGCCGGGGAGCGGGGCGCGGCGCGGGCGGCCGGAGGAGCGGCCCGGGCAGAGCCCGACGGCAGGGCTTCCGGGCGCCTTCGTGGGGCTCCCTGAATCGGCGGAGGCGCGGTCCGCTGCAGCGTCTCCTCGCACGCGGCTCCTGGGTAATGTTCGCCCCTTCGCACCCCAACAGCGCAAAGCGGGAAACGGAGGAGAGCCCGGCTCGGAGTCCGTGCCTGGGTCCGCCTTCGGCGCCCAGAGTCTGGGGAGCCCAGCCGGCCTCCCGACACTTCCTCTCAGAAAATGGTGCGCGGCGCTGGGGAAGGCGGAGGCGGCGCTCGAGGCGGGCGGGCGTCCTCCGCTCGGAGAGTTGCTGTTTACCGGCGGGGTGGAGCCGTGGGGCTCTCCCCGGCGGCAAGGCGAGTGGCCGCCGGATGGCGGACGGCCAGGGTGCGCGTCGGTACACGTCTGGGCGGTAACCGGGTCCCGAACCGCGGCCCCGCGCGGCTGCCCGGGGGCCGGCCGAGGTCTTCCGACTTGCGCTGCGAGACTTGTTAACGATTACTGTGTACCAGACGTCTGGACTTAGTGACCATGGACGCTTCCCCTTCTCCCTATACCCCCTCGAAACTTCGTGAATTCGCTGCCGTGTGTGTAAGAAATTGTGTAAATGCAATTTTCAGGGAGTTTTCAAATGCTGAGAAACTAAATGGGGTTCGTGATCAAAACGAAAAGATTTAGAATCTCCTGTACCCAATAAATATTTCTCTGGGAACTCAGGGATATAGGGTGGGATCAGATATATTTTACTGATTAAAGTGTTAATTGAAGGATCTTGGTGAATTAATAATCGAAGGTCATATTATCAAGTTTTTTTTTTTTTTTAAATTCCAAACTCTGTTGGGGATTCCAAATCTATTTATTTATCCCCGTTAATGCATTGGAGTTTATGACAAGGTTTCTGTAAGCTTCCTGGTTGTGGAATATATACAACTTACTTGAAAAGTAAAAGCCATTTTACATGTTGCCATATAGTTGATGATTGTTGCAAGCTGTGAAGACACTAGAATCTTCCAACCATTTTTGTCCTCATTAGATTTCATTTATCTTAGGTTTGCAATATTAAGTGTGATAAATTGATTAATTTATTTGAATGCAGACTACGTACTTCAGTAGACGACAAAGTGCAATTTTAGATTTTATTTATGGTTGTGTTGTTCTTTAAAGTATTGTTTTTATTTAATTGAAGCTATTTTGTTTAATTGGAGCTTCTCTGGGCATTATTGAAGACTTGTTTCACATTATGTTATTGTTACATTTTATATATGTGCAAAGTTTGCTACTCTAATGATTTATGTCATTGTGCCAATATTTTAGTTCAGGAAGCCTTTAAAATTAGTATTTCAGTATGTGTAGTGAATTGTCCTTAAAAGGTTTTACTTCATATATGGAAGCAGGCTAGCTTTTTGAGTCGTAAATTTATAGTAAAAATAAAGAGGACTCTTGAATTGTGTGTCTTGGCTCTTAAACTCTTTTATATCTGTGAAGTGCAAAGTTAATCTTTGATAGTGTTAACTCTCCCTTTGCATTATTTGTGGTTTTAAAGCTAAGAATGAGTTTATTGGCTTAAATATCCAGGTAATGATACAGAAGGTAAGTTCATTTAGGAGTTTAGGTAGGAATATCATTTGCTCTTTGCATCAGTAATGATAGTATTATTACACACTTATGCACAAAACATTAGTTGTCATGTTTAAATTTTAGAAAAATGTATTCCAAGTTTCAGAAGTCTACAAGGGAAGATGAAATCTACAAGCTTACTGCTTAAAACAATCAGATCGAGATCCATACATTTGTTTACATGTAGTAATGATGACATTATAAATTATTAAATGGTATATAGGACTTATTTGTAGGTTTGTTTTAGGAAATATGGAGCCTATTCATTGAAGATGTAGAAGAATTAATTTTTTGTACAGCAAGACTTTATAGGAATTTTTACATCTTGGTCTTAAGGGGAGAATTTGCCCTCAGGAAGCTAATTAAATTTCTTCATTTTCTCACAGCCCGAAAAAGTTTCTTTTCCTTTATTTTGTTAGAAAAACAAACAACAGACCACTAATCAAAATTATCTTTCTAGTGTCTCTTCTTATCTCACTGGTGTGTGTGTGTGTGTTTTCATTTCTTCCTAAGAGAATGATTTTATACTTAGATTATTTTGACATGGCAGAATTTTTTTTTAAAGCATTTTTTTTTTTTTTAAATTTTGATGCCTGAAATTTGATGTTTGTATCTATTTTAGTTCTGGGAGACTGTCTTAACTGTATTTTGGCCAGCAGGTTTTGGTGTAAATGCAGATTTGCTTTCTATGTCTATAAAACACAAGCAATGGTTTTGTTTTATTTGAAACTTTAGATGTAATCATTCATACCAGTGATTCAAAGGAATGAACTTTGGTGATTTTAAATTTTGGTCTGAATTTATTAAACAGAGGTAAATGAATAAATTTTAACACATTGTTTTGATGCATCAGTATAGTACTAAAAGATAATTTTAAATTTCTTACTTTAGTATTGAGGCTTTGCTTTTACACTCTGCTGTTACTAGACATTCCATCATTTTTGTTTTTATTAACATTTCACAACTCATTACATTTTTATTTTTGTTATTTGTTAAGTGCTTTTTCTTTTTTTCTTTAACCTTATTATCTCTGTCTTTTTAAAAAACTTGTTCTCTAACTTTGTTTTCCATTTTCTCTTTTTACTTTTTCCATACAGTGTTGTTACAGATCTTATAGCAGTCGGTTTAAAGGTAGGAATCTTTTACTATCCTTTTGTAATTTAGTTTTGGAATTTTTTAAGTGGTAAAACCATCCCATCTGTTCATAAAATTATCTGTTATGTGAGAGTAATCTTTCATTTTTATTTACTCCAAAATAAGTAGACTGGTAGTTATTTTTGGAATTTCTATATTTTAAGAAGCAGCTATAATATCACCATATACACAAATAAAGTATGAACAGAAAATTGAGCCCCAAGTTTAACTTGAAATATTAAAGGTGTTTTTGTTTTTTAGTAGTTAAATGTAACCAAGATTCTGAGCATCTTCCTGTCATGTCCTTTCTTATATCCTCTCTTTTCATGGGTGCTTATAAGTAATAAAATAATAATAGCTGATATTTCTTTAGTATCTCATGCCGAGTACTTTATATATGTATTTTTTCCCACTGATCATTATTACAAACCTTAAAGGTAGGTAATTAATATTCCCACTTTAGAGATGAAAAAGTGAGATCAGAAAGTTCAAGTCCAAGACGGGGTACACTGGTGTTCAAATCCATATCTTCCTGGTTCCAAAGCTTGACCTTTTTATATTATGCCTTACGGTAGCATCCAGGGTTCTAGCTAAAAAGTGAACAGCCTAGAGAGCTGGATAATTAATATAATTATTTCTCTAAGTTCTACATCACTTGTTTTATCAGTCTTGTCATTTATTTGATTTAAAAATATAAATCAAGTAAATAATACTCAATATGAGACTTTTAAAATATAGCTGGTGTAATAAGGTTTCCTTTTGTAATTTGGTATCTGATATAGCTGAGTTGGGAATCTAGTTCAGATTACAGTATTATTACACACTTATGCACAAAACATTAGTTGTTTGTATTGCATGTGTTTTAAATATTTTAGATACATTTATGTACGGTGTTCCATCCCTTTGTAGTATAAATGCTGCTAAAGAGAGCACATGATTCTACCCCTGTCCATTTCTGTGTATCATCTTGCTTGCAGTTTCTATGCTTTTACTTCATTTGCATTTATTGTGGTTGATGGTGGTCCTCATTCTTTTTTTTTTAATATATGAATTTTTTAGATGTTGATGGATCTTTATTTTATTTATTTATTTACTTGCGGTGCTGAGAATCGAACCCAGTGCCTCACACATGCTAAGCAAGCGCTCTACCACACAACCCCAGCCTGGTCCTCATATTCTTAAAGACAAATTGAAAAAGAAGCACAAATACAACAACTAGCACAATTGGGAGGAACTACTGCTCATACAGTTTTGGAGTTGGGTGGAATTGACCTGCTTTGACAAACTTTGAATATATTTATTATTTGGAAATAAATGGAGAGGTCTCTTTTGTTGGAATTTTTTTTTTGGTAGATATGTTAATTCAGTTTCTCATTTGGGAATGACTCTTAGATTAGAAATTTACAGGCTTAACCATGTCTGAGATTACTTTTGGTGTCTGTTGGTGCCTGTGGGAGAAAGAATATTTAATGCAAATGCTGTTTTAGTCTTATCAGAAATGTAATTTGTGATTCTAGAGTTCTATCTGGCAAAAATGAATACAGAAGATATTTTTAAAAAACTTAACATTTAGGAGCTAAGGGACTGTCATGCTTTTTTTTTTTTTTTTTTTTTTTTGGTACTAAAGATTGAACTTAGGGACACTCAACCACTGAGCCACATCCCCAGCCCTTTTTTGTATTTTATTTAGAGGCAGGATCTCACTGAGTTGCTTAGTGCCTTACTTTTGCTGAGGCTAGAGATCCTCCTTCTTTGAACTAGAGATCCTCCTTCCTCAGCTTCCTGAGCTTCTGGTATTACAGGTGTGCGCCACTGCGCCTGGCCTTGCCCATTTTATTGTGGGGAAAATATATATCCATGTGAAAGAAAATTTGTTAGGCACAAGAACCATATGTGAATACAGAACTGGGCTTTTCTGACTACATGTTTTGCAGCAAGCACTTTGAAAACATAACTACTATGAAGAGAAGATAAACTGACTACTTGATTCAATAATAATCTGTATTTTTATAGACTTAAATACTGGAAGTGTGTGTAAACTTATTCATTATATGGAATTTCTCATAAAATTGTTCTTTCTTTGATCCCATCCAAGAAAGTTTTGTTATGAAATAATAGGCCAGTAAGC